CACACTGTAGGTGTGCGCCACACATGGTATTTTGTGGAAGAGCCACTCTCAAGGGGCCAAAGAGCCGCATGTGGCTCTCGAGCCGCGGTTTGCCGACCACTGCCCTAGGCCTTTACCACCCTATAGTCTTTGTCCATGGGCCATGCATACATGCATACAAGGTCTTTGGTTGATTAACTTCCACCCACCCACCCTCCCCTGCTTTCCCTCTAAGATTCTCCACTTGTTCCATGCTTCCATTTCTCTGGATACACTTCGTTCATCAGTTTATTTTGTTACATAGATTCTACATATGAATGAGATCATGTGATACTTGTCTTTCTCTGACTGGCTTATTTCACTTAGCATGATACTCTTCAGGTCCCTCAAAGAAGGACTGTCTCAAAGAAGGATCTCTTTTTTACAGCTGCATAGTATTCCATGGTATAAATGTACCACAGTTTTTTTATCCACTCATCTACTGATGGGCACTTGGGCTGTTTCTAGATCATAGCTATTGTAAATTGTGCTGTGCATACATTCTTTCTGATTGGTGGTGTTTTTGTTTTTTAGGATATATTCCTAGAACTGGGATCAGTGGGTCAAATGGCAGTTTCATATTTAATTTTTTGAGAAAACTCCATACTGTTTTCTTTCTTTTTAAAAAAATATTTTTTATTGACTTCAGAGAGGAAGGAGAGGGAGAGATAAAAACATCAATGATGAGAGAGAAGCATTGATTGGCTGCCTCCTGCAAATGCCCTACTGGGGATTGAGCTGCAACCCAAGCATGTGCCCTTGACTGGAATTGAACCTGGGACCCTTTAGTCCACAGGTCGATGCTCTATCCACTGAGCTAAACCAGCTAGAGCCAGACTGTTCTTTTTTTTGTTTTTGTTTTTTTAGTTTTTTTTTAAATTAAATCTTTATTGTTCAGATTATTACATTTGTTCCTCTTTTTTCCCCCCATAACTCCCCTCCTCCCAGTTCCCGCCCCACCCTCCGCCCTCACTCCCCACCCACTGTCCTCATCCATAGGTGCACGATTTTTGTCCAGTCTCTTCCCACATCCCCCTCACCCCTTTCCCCCCCAAGAATAGTCAGTCCATTCCCTTTCTATGTCCCTGATTCTATTATAATCACAAGTTCATTCTGTTCATCAGATTATTTATTCACTTGATTCTTAGATTCACTTGTTGATAGATGCATATTTGTTGTTCATAATTTGTATCTTTACCTTTTTCTTCCTCTTCCTCTTCTTAAAGGATACCTTTCAGCATTTCATTTAATACTGGTTTGGTGGTGATGAACTCCTTTAGCTTTTCCTTATCTGTGAAGCTCTTTATCTGACCTTCAATTCTGAATGATAGCTTTGCTGGATAAAGTAATCTTGGTTGTAGATTCTTGGTATTCATCACTTTGAATATTTCTTGCCACTCCCTTCTGGCCTGCAATGTTTCTGTTGAGAAATCAGCTGACAGTCGTATGGGTATTCCCTTGTAGGTAACTGAGTTTCTTTCTGTGGCTGCTTTTAAGATTCTCTTTTTGTCTTTTGCTCTTGGCATTTTAATTATGATGTGTCTTGGTGTGGTCCTCTTTGGATTCCTTTTGTTTGGGGTTCTCCGCGCTTCTTGGACCTGTAAGTCCATTTCTTTCACCAGGTGGGGGAAGTTTTCTGTCATTATTTCTTCAAATAGGTTTTCAATATCTTGCTCTCTCTCATCTTCTGGCACCCCTATAATTCTGATGTTGGTACGCTTGAAGCTGTCCCAGAGGCTCCTTACACTATCCTCGCATTTCGGATTCTTTTTTCATTTTGCTTTTCCGGTTGGGTGTTTTTTGCTTCCTCGCATTTCAAATCATTGACTTGATTCTTGCGCTCCTCTGTTCTGCTGTCGGGAGTCTGTATAATATTCGTTATTTCAGTCCATGTATGCTTAATTTCTAGTTGGTTCCCCATCATAACATCGAGGGTCTCATTAGTTTTCTTGTAGATCTCATTAAGTTTATCGGCGGCTTCTAAACAGTTCTTGAGAGACCTTAAAAGTGTGGTTCTGAACTCTATATCTTCCATTGACAATTTTGTCCTATTTCTTTGTCTCCGCATTTTGTTATGCTTCCTTGGTGCACCCCCTAGTGGTCTTTGTGAGCAGTCTTGTAGTTAAGCCTTGATTGTTGTAGCTAATACCAGGGAGGGTTTGACCTCCAGGCCAAGTGGCTGTGAGAATCAGCTGTGTCTGCAGTGAGAGAACTTCTGTCCTCTAGGGAGGTGCTAATCTAGCCTTTGCCTGAGGCTATCCGGCAAATGGCTCTGTGCAGGGCTTGGGTGGGGCGGGTCGCACAGGATCAACAGGGTGGGCCGGAGAGAGCAGTTATGGCGGCTCTCAGTCCCGTCCCCAGGGGCTCTGCCTCTCTGAGTCCCAGCAACCGCTGCAAACCTCGGGGAGAAAGCTGCACTCGCTCTGACCGAAGCCAGATAGTCCCGCTTCTCCCGTTTGAGTCTGGGTCCCTAAAGACTCGCCCGTATCTGGAGCTCAGAGTCTGCGACTCCCTCCCGATTGAAAACGCCAACCGCGCCCTCCAGCCCGCTCTGCGCACTCCGCACCTCAGAATTTGACTTCAGCACTGCGCCTCCTCTGAGTGTCCGTATGCGTTTCTCTTTCCTCCTAGTTGTAGGACTTCCACTCAGCCAGCGTTCCTGTGGTTCTGGGTGATGTCCATTCCGTCTTTTAGTTTCACTTTTGAAGTAGTTGTTCAAGGCAGCAAATTCCGGCGTTAACTTATGCCGCCATCTTGGTTCTCCAAAAATAAGAGTTAATTTTTAAAAATCTAAATAAAGGCAGTCAACCTGTTTTAGTTTTCAATAGGTAGTCAATGTTTGCTGAATGATGATGTCTAAACGTTGGTGAACGCCTAGGAGTGTCTCTTTTTTGGTTTTTAAAAATATATATTTTATTGATTTTTTACAGAGAGGAAGGGAGAGGGATAGAGAGTTAGAAACATCGATGAGGAAGAAACATCGATCAGCTGCCTCCTGCACACTCCCTACTGGGGATGTGCCCGCAACCAAGGTACATGCCCTTGACCGGAATCAAACCTGGGACCCTTGAGTCTGCTGGCTGATGCTCTATCTACTGAGCCAAACCGGTTAGGGTGGCCATACTGTTTTTCACATTGGCTGCACCAGTCTGCATTCCCACCAACAGTGTACTGAAGGTTTCCTTTTCTCCACATCCTCACCAGCACCTGTCATTCTGACAGGTATGAAGTGATACCTCATTGTCATTTTTTTTTTTTTTAGAAACTATTTATTTTCCATCAACCTTATTTCCGTTCCGTTCTGTTAAGAATTTGTGGAAGAACAGCTTAGGACCACTCAGTGGTTGTTCCTACCCATTCAGTAGCCTGAGCAGTGGGAGCTGCAGACCAGTCTTCAGTGGCAGGCTGAGCACTCCAGTTTTCAGTAGGAAACTGCTGAATGGGTACAGAGGGCACCTGCAAGCCTTCAGACCAGTCTGTAACCTCAGGCTGAGCAGCAGTGAACTCAGGAGCAGGAGCAGTCCATTCACCCTGAAATTCCTCCTTGGTCAAAGCCTTTTCAGCAGCGGCCTGCTCTTCCTTTTCAATCTCTTCAGGATCTCTGTAGAAGTAAAGATCAGGCATGGCTTCCCACGGGTGTTCACGGGAGATAGTGCCACGCATGCGGAGTGCTTCCCGGGCCAGCATCCACCACATCAGACCCACTGAGTGAGCCCCCTTGTTGTTGCAAGGGATGGCGATGTCCACATAGCGCAGCGGAGAGTCTGTGTTACACAGAGCAATGGTGGGCAGATTAACGTAAGACGCCTCTGTGAGAGGCTGGTGGTCAGCCCTGGGATCAGTAACCACCAGAAGTCTTGACTCCCGGAAGGCTGCCTGCATCTGGTTGGTGAAGGTTCCAGGAGTGAAGCGGCCGGCAATAGGAGTGGCTCCAGTGGCAGCAGCAAACGTCAGCACAGCTCACTGGCCAGTATTCCTGGACGATATGACACTGACGTCAGCTGGGTTTTCGATGGCAACAATGGCACGAGCTGCCAGCAGAAGCTTCTCCCAGGTTCTCTTCAGATTGATGATGTAGATGCCATCACTTTTCCTTTTGTAGATGTACTGTTCCATTTGGAAGTCAAGGTTGGTGCCACCTAAGTGGGTTCCTGCTGCAAGGAACTTGAGGACATCCTCCTCCTTCGTTTGCAGGACATCAAGGGCTCCGGACATTGTGAAAAGTTTCCCTTTAAGTTACGTGGGAACCGAGAACAACGCCGTATGGAGCCCTCCCTGGGTAGTGCGGAAAGCTCATTGTCGTTTTAATTTGCATCTCTCTGATGATGAGTGACTTTGAGCATTTTTTCATATGTCTCTTGGCCATCTGTATGTCCACTTTGAGAAGTGTCTATTTAGGTCCTTTGCCCATTTCTTTTTTTTTTTTTTTTACAATAATAGAACTATTTTATTAAACATATGGATGTACTTATTTTGTACAAAACACGGTGACATTTCTTTCTCTCCTCTGCCACACGAGGCTACCACTCTAGAACTTCCTATTTACCAAAACACTTGGCAGCAGTCATGACAAGTTGAAGAAAAGTGCAATTCTGAAAGTAACACCACATAGCCAAAATGGGGAACAAAACCAGGCAGAAGTTAGCAGGTTTCTTGGCTAGCTCTCTGCTGACAGACCCTAATCGTACTCAGCAGGTAATATTTTAGGAATAGAGACTCCTGAGTATTTAAGTAATACTGCCCAACTCTATGGCAGCATCCCTCTTCTACTTCCATCTATCCAGATGGTATTATAACTAATAATTTGTAACTTCTTTTAAGAAATTCCAGTTTGGCTCACACACCTATGAGCTGCCTATCTCACTTTGAATTTCAAAATAACAGAAGAGCAGTAAGTTTCAAAATGATGTCAGTTGAGACATTTTATGGATGAAACCTACTTTCTAGAAGTCAACTGTTCAAAACATATGCACAGCTGGACACAACAGACTGAGAAAATAGGTCCTGCTGGAAAATATGTTGGGTACCAATTAGATCCAGTTATTCTGCATCTGTGGATTTAAAATGATCATCATCCACAGTGGAATAGATGTGTCCCTCGTTGCTTAAAAAATCCACAGCTTGCTTGATTGAGGCTATAGGCATGTGTTGAAGCTGATTCTTGAGGTCGTGAAAGTTCAACCCTTCAGGTCTTGGGCAAGCCTTAATCAAATTCAGCACCTGGTTTTGGGCCACAGTGAGGCCATTTGCCGGTATGAGGCTATTCCCACCAAAGCTCCCTGCTTCACTCATTCCGGGATTGCTGATAGGCGCTCTCCCGGCTGAGGGCTAGCTGTTAGCTTTGGTCAGCATCATGTGTTCATTCACTACTTCCAGAATATGTGCGGTGAACTCATTCATCTCCTCCAAGGGCATGATCTTAAAGGCCACCAGGCTTTTTTTGTTCTGAAAAGATCTCAGATGGCCAGTCACTTTCACATACGTTTCTGGAGGAACCACAGTGTTTTCACCACTGGCATCATCTGTGTCAACCCACTGGCGAACATCCATGGGTGCAGCTGTCATGTCATCTATTTTGTAAACAATGTTGGTTGGAGCCTTCTCAGCATGTCTGGTTATCCCCACAATAGTGACCTGTGATATCTCAACACTTCCAGTTCTGAACACTTCATCAACCAGAGTGGCAGAAAGCAGCTGAGATATGGTACAGGGTACAATGTGCTGGGCTCGGGTTCTTGTTCCACATCTTGGTCACGACTCCCTCAGGAAAGACGCTCAGAAGGCTCCGGTCCATTGGGTTAGCCGGACCCCGCAGAACCCTGTTGCGGCTGCAGCTCCTTTGCCCATTTCTTAGCTGGATTGTTTGTCTTCCTTTTGTTAAGTTGTATGAGTTCCTCATATATTTTGGATATAAACCCTGTATCAGATGTATCATTGCCAAATATGTTCTCCCATACAGTGGGCTCCCTTTTTGTTTTGTTGATGGATTCTTTTGCTGTGCAGAAGCTTTTTATTTTGATGTAGTCCTATTTGTTTATTTTCTCTTTAGTTTCCTTTGCCCTGGGAGATGTATTAGTAAACATATTGCTACGAGATATGTTTGATTTTTTTTCTGCCTAATTCTTGTAGGATTTTTATGATTTCCTGACTTATATTTAAGTCTAGTTTAGTTTTTTTTGCATGTATCTTTCCAATTTTCCCAGCACCATTTATTGAGGAGACTGTCTCTGCTCCATTGTATGCTCTTGCCTCCTATTTCAAATATTGAGTATAATAGCTTTGGTCGATTCCTGCATTCTCTGTTCAGTTCCATTGATCTATATGCCTGTTCTTGTGACAGTTCCAGGCTGTTTTGAGTACAATGGCTTTGTAGTATAACTTGATACAGTGGGACCTTGACTTACGAGTTTAATTCGTTCCGTGATGGAGCTCGTAACTCAAATTACTCGAATGTCAAATCAAAAGTGAACGAGTGAGACACATGATGCTGGGCTGAAGTTGTGGCAGTCACTGTGACATTTGCTGCGCCAACTAGCGGTGGGGTATCTGAAGCTGTCTCATAACCCGAATTTTAGCTCGCAACTCAAAGGAAAAAATTGGCCGAGAGACGGCTCATATCTAGAAAAACTCGTTAGTTGGGACACTCGTAAGTCAAGGCCCCACTGTATCTGGTATTGTGATTCCTCCAACTTTGTCCTTCTTTCTCAGAATTACAGCAGCTATTTGGGGTCTTTATTTGTTTCCTATAAATTTTTGGAGTGTTTGTTCTAGTTCTGTGATATATGCCATTGGTATTTTAATAGGGATTGCATTGAATCAATAGATTTCTTTGGGTAGTATGGACATTTTAATGATGTTGATTCTACTAATCCGTGAACATGGTATATTCTTCCACTTGTTTATATCTTCTTCTACCTCTTTTTCAATGTCCTGTTGTTTTCAGAGTACAGATCTTTTACGTTCTTGGTTAGGTTTATTCCTAAGTATCTTAATTTTTTGTTGCAATGGTAAATGGGATATTTTTTTAAAAATTTCTCTTTCTGAGAGTTCACAATTGGTGCATAAAAATGCTATGGATTATTTGGTGTTAATTTTGTATCCTGCTGCATTTCCAAATTCATTTATTAAGCCTTGTAGTTTTTTTATGGAGTCTTTAGGGTTTTTTTATGTACAGTGTCATATCATCTGTGAATAATCCATTTACATTTAAGGTTATTATTGACTAGAGGCCCAGTGCACAAGGTGTTTTCCAATAGAGTGGGTCAACTGGTCTCCCACCTCCCTCACACCCCCCACCAAGGCAAAACTGCCTAGATAACAATTGTCTGCATGAGAAAGATGACCTCCACAGCGTGAGGGAATGACTTAGCTCAGGAAACTGAGGTGCCTGCCTTCTGAGCTCTAACCCCAGTGCCCCTGATGCTGACTTTTGCTCACACAGCTCCAGTCCACTCTGCCCTCCCTCTGCTGGAGCACAAGGTGAGTGGTTCCACAGGGAATTTTGTGCATTGGCCCTTTAAGAGGATGCCTGCATTTCCGGTTGTCTCTCCCTGCCAGATAGCAACCCTGCTGCTTTTCACAGCCAGATGTTCTGTAGGTACCCTTCTCAGTTCTGGTGCCTTCTGCTGAGGGGCCCAGCTTAGAGATTAGACCCCAGAGTTCTCAGTGGCAACTCCCCACATCTGAGATATCTATCTGGAACTTCAGTTGCTGTCTGTGGGAGCCTGGCCAGCCCTTTCATGCCTCCACTCCTCCTAACAGTCTGTGCAGTCTCTACTTTCCATCCATGATTATCAGGGTTCTCTCCAGTGAGTCTTCAGTTGATTATTCAGGAAGTTTTTCTGTATTTTAGTTGTAATTCCAGTTTGGTCCAGGGAGCGTGTCTGTACAGCATACACTTACTTTGTCACCATTTTAAATCTCCCAATGGTAAAGTTTTCATTCTTTTTTTAAGGCCGAGTCATATTCCATTATATACATCCATATCCATATATAGCATAGCATTTTTATCTACTTGTCTATTCATAGGCACTTGGGTTGCTTCCATATCTTGGCTATTGTAAATAATGCTGCAGTGAACATAGGGGTGCATATATTCTTTTGAATTAGTGTTTTGGATTTATTCAGATATATACACAAAAGTGGAATCACTGGGTCTTAAGGCAGTTTCATTTTGAATTTTTTGTGGAACCTCCATACTCTTTTCCATAGTGGCTGTGCCAATCTGCATTCCCACCAGCAGTGAATGAGGGTTCCCTTTTCTCCACTTCCTCACCAACACTTGCCATTTGTGGACTTGTTGATAATAGCCATTCTGACAGGTGTGAGGTGATATCTCATTGTGGTTTTAAAATATTTATTATTTTATTTTATTTTTTTCAATAACATTTATCTCCCCTATACCATACTCCACCTCCACCCACACATCTCCCCTCCCCACAACCACCACACTGTTGTCCATGTCCATTAGTCCTTTCTCTCCCTTTTTTCCTTTTTTTTTTCAATCACAGCCTCCTACCAAACTGTCAGCCTGTTCTCTATATATGAATCTGTCTCTATTTGTCTTGTTAGTTCAGTTTGTTCACTAGATTCCACATATGAGTGAAATCATATGATACTTGTGTTTCTCTGACTGGCTTAATTCACTTAGCATAATATTCTGCAGGCCCATCCATGCAGTTGCAAAAAGTAAAATTTTCTTCTTTTTTATGGCTGAGTAGTATGTAGAAAATTTGCTCTGCTAGTCTTCCGGTCATTCCCAGAGATATCTGTTATATATGTAGTTGTTAGTTATGGTGTCAATGAGAGGAAGTGAGCTCAGGATCTTCCTACTTCACCATCTTGAACCCAAAGCCAGGAGCCTTGTTTTGGAATGCCAATTTAACTTCATAGTGATATGTTGTTTCTTGTGATTGGTACATTGCCTATGCAACAAATTTGTCTTCAGATCACTCAATCACTGCCCCCACTCCTCTTATTACAATCTTTACTTTAAAGTCTATTTTGTCTGATATAAATATAGCCACCCCAGCGCTCTTTTGGTTTTCATTTTCATGAAATATCTTTTTTTAAATATATTTTTATTGAGTTAAGAGAAGAAGGAAGAGGGAGAGAGAGATAGAAATATCAATGAATGAGAGAGAATCATAGGTCGACTGTCTCCTGCATGATGGTTCGAGCCTGTAACCCAGGCATGTGCTCTAGGAATTGAACCGTGACCTCCTAGTTCATAGATTGATGCTCAACCACTGAGCTACACCAGCCTGGCTGAAATATCTTTTTATATCTTTCACTTTCAGTATCTTCATGTCCTTATATCTGAAGTTAGTCTCTTGTAGGCAGTTTATGACGGGTCTTGTTGTTGTTGTTGTTTAAATCTCATCATCTACTCTATGCCTTTTTTTTTTTTTAAAGAGGTCTTTTTATTTGTAACATTTACAAGTAACATGTTCAGTAACATTAACATTGCATAAAAACAGAGATTAAGTGAATATTTCCCTTGGCCCTTCCTCCAAGCCCATGTCCCTCTCCAGAGGTATTCACCCAACTTGGCTTGAAATGTATTCTTTTTTTAAAAATATATTTTTTATTGATTAAGATATCACATATGTGTCCTTATCCCCACGTTATCCCCTACCCCCCCCCCCCCCCCCCCCCGCTCATGCCCTCACCCCCCCCCCGCCCCCTTGTCCATGTCCATTGGTTAGGCCTATATGCTTGCATATGAGTCCTTTGGTTGATCTCTCCCCCTTACCCCCACCCTCCCCTACCTTCCCTCCAAGGCCCAACAGTCCAATCAATGCCTCTCCGTCTCTGGATCAGTCCTTGTTCATCAGTTTATGTTGTTCATTATATTCCACAAATGAGTGAGGTCATGTGGTATTTATCCCTTAAAGGATATCCTTCAGCATTTCATATAATCCTGGTTTGGTGGTGATGAACTCCTTTAACTTTTCCTTATCTGTGAAGCTCTTTATCTGACCTTTAATTCTGAATGATAGCTTTGCTGGATAAAGTAGTCTTGGTTATAGGTTCTTGGCATTCATCACTTTGAATATTTCTTGCCACTCCTTTTTGGCCTGCATGGTTTCTGTTGAGAAATCAGCTGACAGTCGTATGGGTACTCCCTTGTAGGTAACTGACTGTTTTTCTCTTGCTGCTTTTAAGATTCTCTCTTTGTCTTTTGCTCTTGGCATTTTAATTATGATGTGTCTTGGTGTGGTCCTCTTTGGATTCCTTTTGTTTGGGGTTCTCTGTACTTCCTGGACTTGGAAGTCTATTTCTTTCATCAGGTAGGGGAAGTTTTCTGTCATGATTTCTTCAAATAGGCTTTCAGTATCTTGCTCTCTCTCTTCTTCTGGCACCCCGATAATTCCGATGTTGGTATGTTTGAAGCTGTCCCAGAGGCTCCTTACACTATCTTCATATTTTTGGATTCTTTTTTCGTTTTGCTTTGCTAGATAGGTGTTTTTTGCTTCTTCGTATTTCAGATCTCTGACTTGATTCTTGGGATCCTCTCGTCTACTGTTGGATCTCTGTATATTATTCTTTTTTTAAAAAATATATATATATTTTATTGATTTTTTTACAGAGAGGAAGGGAGAGAGATAAAGAGTTAGAAACATCGATGAGAGAGAAACATCGATCAGCTGCCTCCTGCACATCTCCTACTGGGGATATGCCCGCAACCCAGGTACATGCCCTTGACCAGAATCGAACCTGGGACCTTTCAGTCCGCAGGCCGACGCTCTATCCACTGAGCCAAACCGGTTTCGGCTGTATATTATTCTTTATTTCAGTCAGTGTATGTTTAATGTCTGACTGGTCCTTTTCCATTTTTTTGGCATTCTCATTAAGATCCTTGAAGGTCTCACTAAGTTCCTCAGAGGTTCGTAGAAGATTCTTGAGTAACCTTATAACTGTGGTTCTGAACTCTATGTCCTCCATTAGTTTGCTTTCCTCCATTTCTTTCATTTGTGACATGTTTCTTTGTCTCCACATTTTTGGCTGACTGCGAGGACCCACTGTGTCTATAAGAAGAACTGCTGTGCTGGAGACACCCTTATGAGGTAGGACTTGCTTCAGTGGGGCTTTGGTGCTCACTGAGTCTGCTTCTTGAGTGTGTCCCTTATGGATGTGAGGAGTTGAAATCTAGTATCTGACCTGGAGTACCCTGGCTCCTGGATCTCCAAGTCAACCACTGTGTGAGTCCACCCAGCAGGGGCTACAGCAATATGAACAGATTTCTCCTCTTTGTTTGGAGTTTGGAAGTTTTGGAGCTCTCTGATTCACTGCAGTTTGTTAGGCTGCAAAAGCGCAGGTGCCTCCTTTGTGCCACCGAGCACAGCTTGGGAGGGGATGTAAATTGAGTGGGGCAGTGTCTCAGAGAGTCCCCAGGGCAGAGCAAACAGCAATGGTGTCCTCAGCAACGCCGGGACTCCGACTCCGCGACTCCCCGAGTGCCGTGCGCCCCCACAGCAACAATGATCCCTGCGAGCAGCTCTGTGAGAAAGTCACCCTCGCTTTCCGACCCGCTTCTCCCCGTAGGAGCCTGGGACCTCAGGGTCTCGCTGTAAATGAGTTCACTGCATTCGAGAAGCTTGCCCCCTTCCGACTGAAAAAAACCGCACACCAATGTGCAGCAGCCTCGCACGTGCCTCCGTACCTCTGTTCTTGGAGCCTCTCCCCTCCTACTCGGTCTCAATGTGCTTTTTTCTTTCCTTCTAGTTGTAGAACTTCCACTCGGTCAGCTTTCCCATGGTTCTGGATGATAGCTGTTTTGTCTTATAGTTGTAGTTTCAATGTTGTTGTGGGGGGCAGCACGTACAGGTTTGTACCTTATGCCGCCATCTTGGTCCTCTCTACTCTATGCCTTTTGATTGAAGAATCTAGTTCATTTACATCTAAAGTAATTATTGATAGGTATGTATTTATTGCTTTTAAATATATATACACACATATATATACATATATATGTGTGCATATACACATTTATTGATTTCAGAGAGGAAGAGATGGAGAGACAGAAAGATCAATGATGAAAGATCATTGATTGACTGCCTCCTGAACACCCCCTACTGGGGACTGAGCCCGCAACCCGGGCATGTGCCCTGACCAGGAATCAAACCATGACCTCCTGGTTCATAGGTTGATGCTCAACCACTGAGTAACACTGGCTGGACTATATGATAAGACATATCACCCGAGGATATGTTTTTTTATTGATGACAGAAGAGAGACAGACAGAAACATCGATGTCAGAGAGAAACATCGATCGGTTGCCTCCTGTATGTGCCCCAACCAGGGATTAAACCCCCAACCTGGGTATGTGCCCTGACAAGGAATTGAACCTGCCCTTTTGGTGCATGAGACGATGCTCCAACCAACTAAGCCACACTGGCCAGGGCACTAATTTGTTAATTGTTTTGTAGTTTTCTGTTTCTTTCTTCTTCTCTTGCTCTCTTCCTTTGTGGTTTGATGATTTTTTTTTGTAGTTGTATGTTTAGGTTCCTTTGTCATTATTTTGTGTGTATCTATCTTAGATTTTTTTCATTGTGGTTAACATGAGGCTTACATATAACAGCTTACATTTATAATCATCCAGTTTCTGGGTTTTTTTTTCTATTATGAAATAGTTATTCTCCTAGCTTCCAAAACCTTTCCTCTTGGCCTGACTCTGCCTTTTCAAAGACCTGGTCATATCACTCCTCTGCTTAACCAGTTTAATGGAGACTCATTGACTTTAGGATTGAGTAAACACTCTGTAGAGTGGCACTTAGGAGCAAACCCCCACTAACCTCCCCATCTTCCCCCCCGCCCCACACACACACTCAGATGTCACTTTGCTCTTTAGTAATCTGCCCTCTACTCTAATCACACAGAATTCATGCAGAATTCTCCCAAATGGTTTTGG